ACCACCAACTTGGGGTCAAATTAAAGAAGCTTTTACAGAGAGCAGAGGAAAACCTGAAGAAAGCAGGACAGCCTGTTAATGTAATTATGATGACAGTTATCATGATTAAAGTGAGTATTTCTGGAGTTGGGATAGAAGTAAAGAAAGTTTCACACATTGGACATATATTCTTTCCTTCCTTTACTGATCTCTGGCCTTAGTATTTTCTGTAATAATTTAGGAAATAAAATAACAATGTTTCAACCATTAAAACCTGAATGCAGATAAAGTAAGGAATGGTCCCCTAAGTTAAAAACATTAATCTGGAGACACACTGTTGTGATAGAGGCTGAGGTGCTGCCTAACAATTCCTATGAAACTATTATTGATTATTGGTCCCCTAAGGGGATACTTAGCACTGACTGCACCTGTCAGTCCTCTTGTAGTAACACAGAATTCAGATGGCAGATAAAGAACAGCAATTATTTAGAATGTATACATACTGAGATCAACAACTCTATTGTCTGGAGAGATGGGAGATTAATAGACCCACAACCAAAAATAGTATGGACGGATGATAAGAGCTGAATGAAAAGAACTCTGAATAAAACCTATGGCCCTAAAACTAACAAAAGTCTGGGAAGGAAAATATAATAGAGAATCAGGCCCTAATTCTTATTAATTAGAAGTGTATAAGAAATAAAAGCTCTTTAGATTCAGAGCTGTGTTAAACCCCTCCTATCTTGTGATGATGAGAGTTACAAATTGACTTTATTAACTTTAAAGGTGTAATGAGACTGAACATGATTGGGAGAGAATAAAATATCACCTGGAAAGGCCTTAGACAGCAATTAAGGAGGAGGAACCCAGAAGAACCTCAAAGCCCCTTTTCAGCAGGAAGCAGTTACAGAAGAATGACCTCCACCCTCTTTCCCAAAAAATTTCTGGGTCCCAACTCCTTAAGGTAGACATGTAAGAGTAGACAGTTAGGCTCCAAGGTGTTTGAGGGAGCTGCTGGTGGACTGGCAGCCCTAAATTTGGATGAAAGCACTTGGAGGATCTATGATTGCTGTTGTGATTATGTTATTAATCTGTTTTGTTTCTCTTTGTGTAGTTTGCAGGTACGGATCCACAATCCTCCAAGAAATGGTTCACCAAGATAGAGCTGTACTTGCTGACCCAGCTTTGTTGAAACAGAGAAGGGGGAAGATGTCGAGAAACATTAAGTTTACCCTGCCCCCGTGAATCCCTTGTGGAGAATACCTTTTAGTTTGTAATTACTGGTAAGCTGGTAACAGCTACTTACTTGGAATATTTTTGAATTATGAGTGAATACAGAACACCTGTTTATTAATAATGGTCACCTGTTAAGAGAGAATAAATATGTGGATCAGAATCTGCTTGGGGCCTTCAGCCTGGAAAGCTGTCAGCCCCTGAGACTCTCAGCTCGGTAGGCTGCTGGCCCCCTGGATAGATCCACCTTGGTGTTCTATCTGGGTGTCTGTCTCTCACTGCCTTCAGCATTGCCCAGGTAGAGGTCTCCCAACTGAGCTGGTACTCAGTATAATAGAGTGAAACTGTTTCAAAAACATATAAATAATCTCCACTCTGGCCACAGCGGAGTAAATGGGATCAGACTTACCCTCCCGCTGTTATCAACTAGAAAACTGCGTAACATGTACGAAAAAGGTATTTTCAGATGTTGAGCAAGAGGCAACACAGTTTGCTCCCTAAGAAGGGAAACAAACCAAGTGACACTTACCCTGCTCGGCTGTCAGCCAGGTCAGCTAGGAGACCCTTTCCAGACCACAGCACAGGGCAAGAGGTTATGCAGAACATGGCAGTCTTGCTGAGCTAAACAGACAGGAAACGAGTTCAGGGAAGGGGAAGCAGCTGGAACTTGCCAGGCAGAGAGGAAGTTACAAAGAAAAAAGCCTTCAGAACGCTGCACAGGGTTCCTATAGGGTCTGTGTTAATACCTTCACATACACAGAGCGTAAGACTCTGTAATGCCGAGCAAAAGGTGACCATGAGCTATAACAATCTCCAGAGCTCTTGGAGGCCTGGGAAACATTCTGATCAGCCAGATGGCAGGATCACTGCTGAGCACCTCGAGCTCTGAGCAGAGACCCCAGAAAGGTCACAGTAATTGTCTGGCTAAATAGGCTTATAGCAGTGGTTCTCAACAGGTGGCAATTTTACACACCCAAGCCCAAGGATGATGTGGCAGTCTGGAGACATTTTTGGTTGGCAAGAATGATGGCAGGGAAGGGAGTACTACTGACATCCACTGGGAGGAGGCCAGGGACGCTGCTAAACATCCTACAATGCAAAGGACAGCATCCACAACAAAGAATTATCAAAATGTCACACAGTCAGAGAATGCCAAAATGTCACAGCACTACTGTTGAGAAGCCCTGACTTAAAGCTACTCTAACCCTGCCCCAAAGAAAGCTTAAACAAGCCCTGAAAGGATCAGTCTGAACTGCAAGTAACCCAATTGCATGTCAATGTTTAAAAAGCAAAAACCACAAAGTCTAGCACTCAACAATAGGGAATTCCCAATAGCCACAGCATCTAAAGAAAAATTATTAGACATGTGAAGAAGGAAAATGTGACCCAGAACAAGAATAAAAATGAGTCAAGAGAACAAACCCAGAAAAGACAAAGATGGTGGGAACAGAAAATAAGGACGTTAAAAAAGCCAAAATAAATGCTTACAGGAAACTGTGAACATAAGGAAAACAGAAGTTATGAAAAATAATCAAGTGGAACTTTCAGAGATTAAAAAAAAAATACAATATCAAAAATGAGGTCGGGCACAGCAGCTCACACCTGTAATCCCAGGACTTTGGGAGGCTGAGGTGGGGGGATCACTTAAGCCCAGGAGTTTGAGACCAGCCTAGGCAACAAACTGAAACCCCATGTCTACAAATTTTTTTTAAGTTAGCCAGGCATGGTGGCATAAGCCTGTGGTGCCAGCTACACAGGAGGCTGAGGCAGGAGGACTGCTTGAGCCCAGGAGGTCAAGGCTGCAATGACCCATGCTCACATCACCGCACTCCGGCCTGGGTGACAGGTCAAGACACTGTCTC